AATATTTTTCAATTTGTCTGTAATACTCTTCTTTGTGTGCTTAAACAAAATATTGGGTGTTTTCTCCATCCCACAGAACAAGATAGACGCGGCCCATGCGGCAGCCTCAGCGGGCCAGGTGGCCAAGCTGGAGTCGGCGCTGGGGGCGGGCCGCGCCAGCCAGGGCGGCGGCGCCGGGGCGCGGCTACCGCTGGCCATGTGCAAGGACCGCGCCGGCACCGGACTGCTGCACAAGGCCGTGTTCCGTGGCCAGCGGGGCGTCGTTGACTGGCTGCTGGACAACCAGCCCAACACCGTGCACCTCAAGGATCGGGTAAGAGCAGCGTAAACCGGAAAAACCCACGCACAGGGGTCATCACCTCACCCCCCGTAATGGCTGCAAAAACATTAGCGCCTCCTTCCTCATTGTCTTCCTTGTCGTCGTCGTCGTCCTCGACATCGTCGTTCTCCTCCTCCTCAAAACGAACGCACTCGGTGGTGCTGGTCCCTCCATTGATTTCCACGACATGCTACGCCACGCCCCGCCACTCCGCTGTCCGCCTTTGTCAACCCGGTGCGTTTCGGCCTCCCCCCCTCACGCGGGCCCCACTGGCCGGTATGCAGGACCCCGGGCGGGGCTCCTGAAAGTTTGATACGCCCCACGCCCCACGCCCAGCCGAGGAACGCCGCGCCACGCCCCCCAAGCCGGGCGGGGCAGGACAGTCTCTGACCACCTCGACATCGACCCGCCGGACGAGGAGCGGCGCCCGGGCGCGACCATCCCTGTATTGATTGTCGACCTGAGTCACCCGCGCCCCGCTTACACCAACCACGAGACACATTGCGCTTTAAAACAACTTATTGCAAATATCCACATAGCAGTCGGGCGCATCCCGAGAAACCTGACTTTCCCACATACAAAACAATAAATTTTCTTCCAGTTCAATAGATTAAGTAATAAAATGACATTTTTCATAAACAAAATAAGATATTTTCTTTGTTTTTGAAAGAGGGTATTTCAGAGGGTTTTCCTGAAAATATATCGGAAAACTGCAAATTCTCATCCACAATTATTCCAGTTTGATTTTTTAAAATCTATATTTAGTTTTTCACTCTTTTGTGTGCGCCTGCAGGAGGGGCGTACGCCGCTGCACTACTGCGGAGCGTGCGAGGACCAGGACGCCATGTGGCAGCGCCTCGTGGACGCCGGCGCCGACGTGGGCGCCAAGGACAACCGCGGGCGCACGGCCGACTACTACCTGGAGAAGCCCGACGAGCTGCGGCTGCCCACGTCCCCGCAGCACCCCGCCGAGTCCCGGGGCAGGGCGGCCGACAGTGAGTATTAAACGCACAGGGTGAGCGCAGACCTACCCCAACGGCCTGGCAGCCGGCGCCGGCGCCGTGCGTGCGTACCCGCGACCCTGGCGGGCGGCGCGCTCCTAGACATCCGATACGACCATTTACCCTAACGGCCTCGGGCAACGGGAGAGCAGGCCACATTAGGGCCCTAGTTCGCCAACCCTTCTATATCCCCTGATATAGTACCCCTCTCCAACCTGCTGCTCCGTCCGAAAATACGGCAGCCCGATGCGACATGATACTAAACTTCGGTCATTACCGGGGGCACCCCGCACGGGGTGAGTGCCCTAGGCCCGCGGCCTGCACACGGCCCATCGCTCAGTCCTGCTGTCTGCGCGGCCAGGCCCGGCCAGACTCGCATGGCTTTGGGTTTCCCGGCATTGATTCCCCGCGCCCCTCCCGCAGCGCAGACCGGGCCCGCACGACACCAGGCCGGCCGGCCGGCAGACGGTGCATTCACCTGACAGGCCCGGGCCCCCGCGCACAAAACAACCAGGTGTGCACCGTGCGCCGGCAACGCCACCCCCTTTCCCCCACGGGCGCCTGAAATGACAGGCGGTAAAACTAAATGCAGGGCGCGAGACGTCGTGCGCTACACCGTGTGTGCTAGTAGCTGGCTGGCACGTGCCGCAACCCCGAGCACGAAAGCGTAGCGCTGTGCTGATGTGAGCACCTCGCAAGAACAGCCCGGCGTGTAGGCAGGCCCGCTGCACACGGACGCGTGACGGGACTGCCTACCGC